CAGGCTGCATGTGTGAATACCTGTTGCACAAGAACTAACAAATTAGCAGCAAGAAACCAAGTTTGACAGGCAGTGCCAGGCAGGCTGAAACATCCAGGAAAATAAGTATTCTTCCCAGTGATGGAGCCTCTTCTAAAAGCTATTTTTATTCACTCTGAACCCCCAGGTTCGTGGAAAGTGAACCAATCCATAAAAATACACAATAAATAACTTTACACATATCATGCTCATTTGCATGTGAATTAGCCCAGTTTATGGCCATAAAGGCAGACTTTGTCAGTGCACAGAAGATGCAAACTAGTAGGGGCAGAGAAGAACTGCCCACAGTTGAAGATTTGTCACATTTCTGCACCACTCAATATTAATACTTGCTGTGCCTCAACGAGGTTAAAATGACGGTGACAGCTCAGATCTGTGTGGTGATAGATAGATAGAGAGGGAGATACAAGCTCTTGCATCTTCCTTCTGCATTTGCATTTTCTTCCAGGTATAGATCTCACAGTGTCTGTTAACTGATTATTTCTCTTAAATAAGTAGGAAAAAAAAAAAAAAAGAAAAAAAAAATCCCTTTTTTCTCACCCGACTGCTTATTAGATTTGATATTGGGAAAAGCCCTTCGTTTACTCTGAACAAATAGTTCTGTTTTCTACCACTTGCTGTCATGTTTAAAGTAAATAAGTTCTCGTCCCTCCAGCACTGCTGAACTCATTCACTTCCCAGAACAAAGCCATTGTGTAGAGGTCCACAACAGCCCCTTTCTCTCCTTCCCCGAGCGGGATCTTCCCCGGCACCGCAGTGTGCTCCCCAGCTTTGTGAGCCATTCATTCACCAGTGCCAGTGCTAAAAGTGTGCATGCTTTATTTCACAGAAGAAATGAAGGAAGATTATGACACTATGGGGCCTGAAGCCACAATTCAGACCACTGGAAACAATGGTACAGGTAAGGCCTTGCATGGAGTGAGCATCACTTTTCTTTGGGATCACAAAGAGCTAGCTGTGCATGGAGAGTGAGAGTGACAAAACAATCTGATTGTTGTTTTCAGTTATTGGAAAATACTGACATAATTCTCCTGGTTTTTAATTTCCCTCCCCTCCCAACTTGATTGTGAGCGTGCAGTGACCAATCCATGCAGTGAAGAGTCCTTGCTATCCCTCCTGTGTCCCACAACATTTTATCCCCAACTCCTTGTAGCTGCATCCTTGGGAGATAGTTCTGTACAGTGTGAGGAAATGTTTCCCAGGCAGGGTAGGGTGACCCTTGGACAGTTTAAAGTAGCTGGGCCAAGGTACAGTGGCCTTTTAATAAGAGAGGCTGTAGGAAGAGCTTGATAATAGGATGGGGTGCACCTTCCTTGGCAGCCCCAGATTTGGGTGGTGCACAGAGTAAACTGCTTCAGAGATTGAAAACATCTTGTCATCAAGACACACAGAAACCCCTTACATAGATCTATAGACACACACACTTTAGATGCATATTTATGAGATTATAATGTTTCTGGCAATTTTCTTTTGTTTTTTTACCACTTTTTACATCTCTTTCTTTCCCCTCTTCTTAGAAATCAATGCATTTGATGGCAAAAGAACTGTGACAAAGATATTTAGCAGGCATCACCTCTGAGCCATCTCTCTTTTTCTCTAGCAGAGAAAACCAGCAAAAGGTTTCTGTTGCTATTTTCCAATCCAAATGAATTCAGGGGTTTGCCATGTTCTTTCCAAAGGCCCCACTCTATCCTCAGCACAGCTGAATGCCATACATCACCCGGTGTTTGTTCTGCATTTTGTCACAATTTGAGATGCTGCAGATAGATTTACACAGCTAAAAGGAAGAGTTTTCTAGTATAAGTACATTTCTATGCATGCCATTATGAAATTTAGTTCATAGGTAATACTCTCCACAAATATTACTGTAAAAGGTGGTACCAAAGTCTCAGAAGGATTTTATTACTCACACTTTCCTAATGTTGGTAACACCCACATAAAACCCCAGTGCTCTTATTAAGCAACACAAGAAATTTACTTTATCATTCTTCAGGGGGAAAATAATAGGAAAATAAAACCGTGTCACTGCTTTCTTTATCCATTAGATTTATTATGCATGAAAGGAGGGTGGCACCAAGGCACAGTTCATCATTACCTATGTACTTAATGATGTTGCTGTGCAGAACTGGCTACATATGTATCTCAAAACCTTATTTTATTTCCAAGAGACGGCAATAAAGTGACAAATTGTGCTTAGCACTTGGAGAAACAGGATTTTAAAAGACATCTGATTCAGAAACAAGGCTTGATGGTTATCTGAATTACCATTACCAGAGCCTTTGAGGTCCCCTATCAGTCCGTGTGACTTCCTTTGTACATATTTTCCCTACCATAACAGGCCTTGACTCTTTCATGATTGCAATGTAGTCTGCATGAAGGGGAAGACTTCATGTCCTCTTAGTCCCTTCTTTTCCAGTATCTGCTGTCCTTGTCTGCCAGCTCATCGTCAGCACCACGCAATCTCTCTGGGGGTGCCACTGAGCTCTGGCACAGCCCCACTGCTAACCAGGAGTTGGGTCCACGGGGTGTCCTGCCTCTACTGGAACCAGTTTTCCATGGAAGAAATAAATGCTACCCCTACCCAGCTTGATGCACTGTAAACTCATGGCTCAAGGAGTGTTTTGCATTTAGGTGGTCTGATTTAAAATGCAGGAGCTTCTTTGTGTGTTGCTTCTATCAATTCCTTCCCCAAATGTCCTGTGCAAGTCCCAGGCTCCTCTTTACTCCAGCTACGATGGGAGGCTTGCTCAAATAACCATCACAAGTTGCTCTGAAAATGTTTAATTCAAGTCTTTTTTCACTGAGGTGTTCAGAGACACTTTCACTGGAGGCTGATGCCTTTTCAGGTTGGGTAGAATATGTTTCTTTAGTTTCTGCAATCTCCATAGAGTCTTGAGAGCAATGTCAGATTACTTAGGCATAATAAATGCTCTGATATATTAAATGCTTATGCCAATCTTTTCACCTGGAGTGGGAGATTCCAGGTGGCTATGAGGACCTGTAGTTTCCTTTATTAGGAGTAAAAGATCCCTTTCGTGCCCAGTGAGGTGCCTCAACCATTATTTAACAAAGAAAGGGAAGAAATCAGTCCCTGAGCTGTAGGAGATCCTTCCTGGATAGTCTGGGAAGTGTTCAAAATTTTCTTCTTCAGCCTCACTATAGGCTTTGGGTGTTTTGCCTCAGTTTTCCCTGCAGGTTTTAGGGGATCTAAAATTGATGTTCAATTAAGTAGCTCAGGTGAGGCTGAGACTCGACCCAATGAAAACATACATCTAACCAGAAAGTTTCTGTAAGTGAATGCAATATCTGTGGTGCACTTTTAGCATCCAGTTCTCTGCAAAATGTCATTAGTAGATAAAGAAAACTAAAAGAAAATGTCTTCATTATTAAATTATTCTGCTATTGTCAGAGTGGCCATTTCCTAGTGGTACTTAAAGAGATGTGTTGTTATCTATATATTAACCAGCTGCATTTTTATGAGCCATGGAAGCTTCATGGTGAAAAAGCAGAAGTGACCATTAGGGTGAAAATTTAGGATTTTGGTCCTGCTAAATGAATTTGTAAATATTTCTGAGGATTTCTGCAATAGGGACTTGAAAAAGTGATGTTTGGCAGAAGAGGTTTTTAAAATGTGAATGAAGAAATTCTTACGGTTTATTTTATTCTGCCTTTTATGGTTATTGCAACTGGGATGCTTGCAGAGAATAGATTAACAAAATCCCTGTAAACAAACAGAAAAATTTTCCTGGTTTTGATTAGTAACATCTGACAGAATTCAAGTAAAGATCTCTTAACATAATTTAAAGAAGGGAAAGAAAAACTTTCAGGGGGAGGAAAGCAGAACCAAAACTTGGCAGGTTGGAGGACAGGCCGTTTTCAGGCTGTAATCTGTGTGTACCAATGAGGGCCTCTCACTTCCTGGCTAATGAAGGCTGTGGTTTTATTAGCTTTGTTTGCGATTAAGGGCAGCTATCACCATCTCACAGGACAAGTTCCCACACAAAATAACTGGTCTCCCAAGCTCCTTGGACCTCTCTCCCACTTTATCTTGAAAGCTCCTAAATGCCTCCAAAGATAGCTTTCCTTAATGTGTTTTATTTTTATGTGACACAGCCACATCAGCTTTTGGAGCTGAAAATATTTCTGCTCTCCAGGCTCCAATAATTAATTGAAAAAAGACTTATTTGGTGAGGTCACCCACCATAGATCTCGCTGAAATTCTTGCCTCGCAGGAGGGGTTGTGCAGTGTGTGTGCAATATCAGCCCACAAGGAGACTGGGAACATGGCTTTGTACGTGGAAAATAAATCAGGGCATGGAGGGGGGAAGCAAGTCTTCCACCCAGAAGTCAAGAGAGAAACCTAATGGTTGTCAGATGGGTCTTTTTAGTACCTCTGGGTGAGCTTCCAGCCATGTCTGAATTGTCAGTAACATTCCTGGTGAGAAACCAGACCCACATGGACACCCTTCTCTGTTTGTGTTAATCTGCAGCATTTCAGCAGTGGTTGTATTGCTTCAGTGAAGGATCTATCAGCTTTTCCACTAAATCCCCTTGTTTTTAGGGGTTTATAATATAGACATAAACATTTGCTTTAGCTCCTGGATTGCATGCACAGACATAGAAGCTAAATAATCCTAAGAATTAGGAAACCAAGTAATATTGCAGCAGTCTTCCACAGCCTGTTGGATCAGCCTCCAGATAGACTTGGGGGCAGGAAGGAAGAACCTCATTTGGGTTTGAGTTGGGGATGGAAGCTCCTAATGTTAACTCAGGCCTTGCTTGGATCCTAATCCTATAAATGCAGTTGCAAACTCCAAGTTCCTCTAGTTTACCTGGAGGAGAAAAGGGACACATTGAACCATCCTATGGAGCCATTCCATTTCTCCTTTCTGGAGAAAAACTCCCTCTCCTTGCTTCACAGGTAGCACTTATTGGCTCTTGGCCTAGATTTGCCAAAAATATACTCGTTTTCCTTGGATCCATTGCTAAGACAAGAGAAGGAGTTTGGGCAGTGTTAAGCCAGAGGGTAGATGATCTTGTAGCACTGGGAAGATCTAGGCATAAAAGGGGAATGAAAAATTAGATTTATAGCATAAAAAGTAAAGCCTCAGCTTTTTTTTTTCTGATAAAAACAAGAAGTCCTACACCTACTGTGATGCTCTTGTGCATAAGGTGTACTCAGTTACCACCATTTTGTTATATTTCTCTCCCAGAACAAAATGGAGGTAAAGTACTCTTCTTCTCCACACTCACACCCCCCTTCTCTAGAAGCTGCTTTATTTTGGGGTTGAAAGAGGAGAACTGTTTCTCATGCTGATAACAAATGGTAACTGGAGCTGCAGTAGGACCAAGAGGAGCTCTTGTGGTGGTATAGCTGTTCACTACAGAACCACTGTGATAGGAACAGAAGTTTCCTTCCAAAACCAGAGTCCCATGCCCTGTGCCATTTGGTCACTGTCACTAAAATACTGCAGAACGGTTGAGAAGCTGCTCAGCTCATATGAAAAATAGGGCATATTTGTCTCAGCCAGAGGATTTGATTTTATCGGCTAAAGGGATGAGGTTTACAGAGATGGATATCTACTTTTATCGATGACGCCGAGATCAGAGCTTCAAATCAGGCACTGCAGGCTCCCAGTTGCACCCCAGTCAGAGGTCATGTCTCATTTTCACTCCCAGTATCACTGCCTTGCATTTTCATAGGAAACTGAGGGAAAGCATTTACCCATTTCTAAATACCAAGGAGCTGGTTGGTCTCTCATTTCCAGTGGTTACAAACCATAACCCGCTTGATTTCCATGTCTTCCCTCTATGCTGTTCCCCGGCATCACTGACAGCAGAATTGTCCTGTTTACTATTTTACTTTTACATGAACTCCAGAATAGTTCATGGTGTTTCCTCATTTTCTTATTTCACCTCAGCAGAAATACATTAAAAAATTAATCAATCATAAGCTGTTCTTTTAATTTATGGTCAATTAAAAACAAGTATCTTTAGTTCCCTGCCACCAACTGTGTCTTTCAATACTTGTTAATAAACAAAGAAACACAATTTAGAGGAAGAAAATCACCATCTCCTCTTTTTCCCCTTTTCTAGTATAATTATATTATTATTTGTCTATTACATCCCAGAGTTTTAAGATCTTTCCTGTAAGCAGTGCTCATACTTGGAGGAGAAAAGCACATTTTTAGTAATAGGATGCTTTGTGGCTGAGCACGTATTATGTTTCATGAACATTGCATGGAAAATAAAAAATTGAGTTTGCATTTAAAGAAAAGAAGGAGAACTCTTGTATGGACTGTCAAAGTGGTTTTTGGGCTTGGTGGCCCTCTTATGTTCTAAACCATGTGGTTCTATTGCAGAAATCATGAAGCAGTAAGTTTTTAAAACAACCCATTCTCTCATTATAAGTTAATTTATCAGGGAGGAAAGAAAAAGCAGGAAGATGTGACCAGTTTTCTTCTTGTGCCTGACAAAGAGCAGCCTGAGGCTGTCTCAGAAATGTTTGGTCTTTTACTACCTGCAACTGCCTTCCGCCCACATGGAGACTTGTCTTGGGGTCTGTGGGATCCAGGGGCAGCTGAGCTCAGCCTTGTAGGTTGAGCTGTGCTTATGCCAAAAGCTGTGGGACCCCCAGGAGCCCCGTGAAGGTTGTTCAGGTTCCAGCAATGAAAGATTACCTGCATTACCCGAGCCTCATAAACTTCTCCAACTGCCCTGTAGAGCCCCGTGTTCTTGTTAATTTAACTGCCCGCCCTCACTTCCATCCACACTGGTGGAAAGCCCACATTAATTTTATTGGGAGCTGGAGCAAGGCCGATGAGAGCAAAGATCCAGCTGCAGCCTCAGCCTTGTAGCTCCAGTACATCTGCTCAACTTCTAACACTGTTGATTGGCCCAAGCTCTCTGGGACAATGCACTCAACCACTCTTTCTTCTCCCCCTCTTATTTTAGTGAAGAACGCAAATTGCACGTCGGACTTTGAGGAATATTTTGCCAAAAGGAAACTGGAGGAAGGAGATGGGCATGCAGTCAGCATAGCAGAGTACCTGCAGCGCAGCGACACAGCCATTATTTACCCTGAAGCCCCTGAGGAACTGTCTCGCCTTGGCACTCCAGAGGTCAATGGGCAAGAAGAAAATGGTGAGGCTGTAATTCATTTTTAGCCAGTATCCTGACCTCGTGCAGCTGTTGCAATTATAAATGCACTACATGCCTGGGTGTTTACCTTAAAAATTGAAGAACAGCTGCAGCGGCATGGAATTTCATGAGCAAAGATTGGGGCTGTAATTTCAGTGTATTGTGATTTTTTAGTCAGCACATTTGTATTATTTGTTGGGTGAGCTGAGGAGCTGAATTTAAACAGGAGAAAGGCTGCTGCTCTTCTTGGGAGTTTGGGAAGTTTTAATAGAGTTTTAACACAACAAAAGACAGTAGCCAGCCTATTGCTCTCCAGCGCCTTGATAAATAATTGGAGAAGAGTCAGTAGGAAGGATTCGGTCAATGGCATAAGTAACGTAATGAGCTGGGGCTGGAATGCAAATTGCCAATTGATCAGGAAAAGTATTTCTTAGTTTTCCAGCCAGCCAGGTCTGCGGGAGGAGTGATGCCCATAATTAATTTCCCGGTGGGGTCTGGAGTGGGCCCTGCGAGTCTGCCGTGGGCGTGCGCGGGTGCCGGTGCCTCCCGCCGCCGGTTGGAAGCGCCGTCCCTCCCTCCCGGGCAGCAGATTGCGGCGATTCCTCTCATACCATCCCGGGCAATCAGCCCATGAGCTGCCATTGATTTGCTGACCTTTTGGCCTGCCTCTCTTTCCTCCCCCCCCCATCCCGGGGCGCAGACCTGCCACCTGGAACTCCAGATGCCTTCGCCCAACTGCTGACCTGCCCCTACTGCGACCGGGGCTACAAGCGCCTGACGTCCCTCAAGGAGCACATCAAGTACCGCCACGAGAAGAACGAGGAGAACTTCTCGTGCCCTCTCTGTAACTACACGTTTGCCTACCGCACCCAGCTCGAGCGGCATATGGTGACACACAAGACAGGGACAGATCAGGTGGGGGGCTGGTTTTAAGTGATTTCCTTCTGTAATAACCCCTTAGAGAAACGATATTGCTTTGATTGGCAATCATTATTAATTTTTCATGGCATTTTGAAGATGCAGATCTTTTAATGGTAATAGCTTTAATTGAGGTCTAAATGATTTTTTGATGGTCTCTTCTAATATGATTTAATAGTCTTATGTTCACGATCGAATGAGTGTGTTAATTTCTAATTTAGAAATTTTATTTGCACTTTAACTTGACTTTAGTTTCGTTTTTATGTTCCTCAAAAAGTGAATGAAACTGTAGCATTTTAATTATACATTATTAAACATCTCAGCAATTTTAATTCCATTTTTCACCTAGTTTTGCTTTGCAGTGTTGCAAATAGGAGTTCCAAGACATACTAAAAGATCTGCTAATATTTTTTCATTACTTTTTGAGTAACCTTTTCAATCACATGAAATTATGCGTATTTTGTATAATCGTTTGTTAGACATAATTACACATTTTGAGAAGAACTCTTCCGACAGTACATATAGGCTATCATTTGTGATTGTGCCACTAGAATTGGGCATTGCTCTCATTTGTGTAGCCCGGCAGCGTATCTGCAATAAATCAAAGCCCTTTTTTCCTCGATGGGGTACATGTAATATTATATCAGTGCCACATTTAAGGAAATGCTGGTGTCTCAAACAGGTGACTGAGCTTCCCTAGTGCTCCTAGATGGGCTGGCAGTAGACCTGCACCACAAAATTCTTTACACACCAGCAGGAAAACTGCTCCTAGCTGGAGAATTACTTCTAAAAACCCATCTTAAAGAGGGCTGTAAGGGAAACTCAAATGACGTGGTTAAAAGTTGAACAAATAGATGTGCGCATTGTGTCAAATTATAAAGGCTTTATGCCGGATTTATTTTTCTTAAAAACCTGAAAATCACAATCATCTGTATTTCTCTTGGAAGGTTTCTCAGCAGAAGGTAAATTCAGTTAGGCAAACACACATCTTCCTAATCACGCAATTTTTGCAATTAGCATTTTTAAGAGAACTGTATCTTTTGCTTGATCTTAAATCAAATGACTCCAGAGCACTTTCTCCTATTCTTTCCTTCCCATGACTTTTCCAGTAGACAAACACATTTTCCCATGTATATTTTTCCTAACCTGATACACTGTAAGGTTCTTCCTTTTGCCTCGTATCATTAAAAACACCAGGGGAGGGAACAAAACCCGCCTGGATATTTATCCAACGTAACTGCCTGAAATTTCACATGCGAGAGCGCACTGGTACTGGCGCATTATGAATGGTAGCTTTGGTGTTGAAAAGTCCCCTCATTTGCTCATGGCATTTACAATTAGTAAATTAAAATGATTGTATCATATTAACAGTGGCACAACTAAAGTTTATAGTAGTCCTCAGAGGGCGATGGGGGGAGACAAAACAGCTGTTGCTGTTTGTTTATGCAACTCAGCAACATATGAGCGCGGGTCCCTCAATGGCGCGCGGCGGGCTGGGCTCTGCTTGATCTTTGAAGGTTGCTGCTGTTTGAACAAACCTCCCTGTGTCCCATGTAACACCATCTGTCTCGCCAGGAATGTGGGAAGAGGCAGCACACCCTCGCAGTTGTCATACCGTTTCGGCGCTGCCTTTTTTTTTTCCTTTCCTCCCCCCCCCCGCCCCGTTTTTTTCCCCCCTCCCTGCTCCTGCAAAAGGCTTTTGTGTCGCAAAAGGCTGACCTCCTACCTTGAGCATCCAGAGTGGCTGGCTACGTGGTTATCAAGAAAAAAAATATTTTTTAATTAATTATTCTTTTTTTTCCTCTCCAAATTCAAAGTCATGGGGCTTTCCTTGCTTGTTGCAAAAAGGTCAGCTGCCTTTGATTATATCCTTACACCACTTTTAACTTTCAACTTTCCTTCGCCCCTCAGAAGAGCACCGGGGGAAAACATGGCACGAAAGGTAGCTCAAGTCTTTCCTGCTGCTCTGTGATTTTAAAAAACATTTCCAGCAGCAGCTTATGCTGAAGATGCAGTCTCTCCTGCTTGATAATGAATTAAATCTTACATGAAATGCCACTAACGACAGTGTTTCTCTCTTTCCTCCACATGCAGTAAACAGAATTTTTAAACAAGCTGAGTCCCACATGTTCAGAATCTGCTAGGAATATTAAGAGCCACAAATCTTCTTATAAAACTGTTTCCCTCATTGTAAGATACCTTAAAGCAACACATTTCTGATGAGAGACTTAGGAAATAATTCTAAAGCAAATATCGAATGCTCATGTGAAAATACTTTCTCATTTGTTTCGGTTTACTGCCAACATTTTGATTTTTATTGCAACACTGATGAGACAAATAAATGTACATGCAGACCTTGTGGTCCGCTTGACGAATTCAGAGTCACATTAATTTAATTTTTGTCTTTAAGCTTGAAATTCATGGTTTCTCTTGCATAAAATTCATGTTGGTATCTCTTATTTTTTCTTCTTTTCCTCCCAGCACCAAATGCTGACCCAAGGAGCAGGCAATCGCAAGTTCAAATGCACTGAGTGTGGCAAGGCCTTCAAATATAAACACCATCTGAAGGAACACCTGCGAATTCACAGTGGTGAGTAGCGGAGGTGCTGGTGTGCTCATTTGCATTTTGTTTAATTAGCTGAGTTTTAAAGACTGCTTAAAATTTACACAGTTCTGCTTCTGGCTTCTTGGAGCTACCAAGGTATTTCATAAGTGATATCTGAGTCATCCTCATTTATCATGCTGTTAATACCATGGTCTCGCTAAAAGATTTGGCAATAGTAAAGCTTCCTGCAAATAATAAAGATTGTTAGGCAGTTTGAGCTCAGAAGCCTTCATTCATTGCTGTGCAGTGGGAACCTGAAGAGTCCATTATATTTTCCAAAACAAAAAGTCCCCCTGAGTGAAATACAACTCATATTCTCAGATAACAAGAAACTGCCAAGCCTCTCAGATTGAATGACTTGGGCATTTTGGCTCTCCTACTTGATGCAGTATTCAGCACACAAAATGACACCAGGCTCAGTCCAGGCACAAACTGACGTGGAGGTTCTAACATCAGGACTCAGTTTCTCATGCTGGTGCTCATATCTGGTGAAAATTCCATTTTGGGGGAGAAAAAAAAATAAATAAACAAATCAAATTTGAACTGTCTTGATTTTATTTGGCTCTCTTCCCCACAGGGAAGAGAAGTCACTCCTGTGACTTGCCCAGGTCAGTCTGGACCCAATCTCACACTTTGATGGATGTTGCCACCTGGAGACCCTGGGTCCATACTGACCTCAAAATCTGTACAAAGAAGCAGGTAAAGCCGTGCTTTTGTGTGGCCATGTCCCTATGTTCCTATGAAATTCTATAATCAATATTTCCCTGTTAATCACTGGATATTCAGGTGATCATTTAGATACCAAATGCAATCTCTTGCAATTATGGCAGCAAGAATGATAATTAACATTTGGTTTTAATTATCATTTTAGGTGAAAAACCATATGAGTGTCCAAACTGCAAGAAACGTTTCTCCCATTCTGGCTCCTACAGTTCGCACATCAGCAGCAAGAAGTGTATTGGTTTAATCTCTGTAAATGGCAGAATGAGAAACAATATCAAGACGGGTTCTTCTCCTAATTCTGTATCTTCCTCTCCTACCAATTCAGCCATCACACAGCTGAGAAACAAGCTGGAGAATGGCAAACCACTTAGTATGTCTGAGCAAACAGGCCTACTGAAAATTAAAACAGAACCACTAGATTTCAATGAGTACAAGGTTCTTATGGCCTCACATGGGTTTAGTGCAACTAGTCCTTTTATGAATGGTGGACTTGGAGCAACCAGCCCCTTAGGAGTTCACGCGTCTGCTCAAAGTCCAATGCAGCACTTAGGTGTAGGGATGGAAGCACCGTTGCTTGGGTTTCCTGCGGTAGGCAGCAATTTAAGCGAGGTGCAGAAGGTCCTACAGATTGTGGACAACACGGTTTCCAGGCAGAAAATGGACTGCAAGGCTGAAGAGATCTCCAAGTTGAAGGTTTACCATATGAAGGATTCATGCTCTCAAGCCGAGGAACAAGGAGTTACCTCCCCCAATATTCCCCCCGTGGGTCTTCCAGTAGTAAGTCATAATGGTGCCACTAAAAGTATTATTGACTATACATTAGAGAAAGTCAATGAAGCCAAAGCTTGCCTCCAGAGCTTGACCACAGACTCAAGGAGGCAGCTCAATAACATTAAAAAAGAGAAGCTGCGAACCCTAATAGACCTGGTAACTGAAGACAAGATGATAGAGAACCACAATGTATCCACTCCATTTTCATGCCAGTTCTGTAAAGAAAGCTTTCCTGGTCCCATTCCGTTGCATCAGCATGAGCGTTACCTGTGTAAAATGAATGAAGAAATCAAGGCAGTCCTTCAGCCTCATGAGAACATGGTTCCCAACAAACCTGGAGTGTTTGATAAGCAAACCCTCTTTCTGTCATCAGTACTTTCTGAGAAAGGAATGACTAGCCCCATCAACCCATACAAGGACCACATGTCTGTACTTAAAGCATATTATGCTATGAATATGGAACCCAACTCTGATGAACTACTGAAAATTTCCATTGCTGTTGGCCTTCCTCAGGAATTTGTGAAGGAATGGTTTGAACAAAGAAAAGTCTACCAGTATTCAAGTTCCAGGTCACCATCACTGGAAAGGGCCAGTGCCAAGGTGGCGCTGGCTGCCACCAACAACACTGCCACTAAAGACTCTTTGTCAGCCAGATCTCAAATAAAGCCTGTGGACTCTATAACTTCACCATCTATAGCTGAACTCCATAACAGTGTTACTAATTGTGATACTCCTCTCAGGCTAACAAAACCTCCTCATTTTACCAATATTAAGCCAGTTGATAAATTGGACCACTCTAGGAGCAATACTCCTTCTCCTTTAAATCTTTCTTCCACATCTTCTAAAAACTCCCACAGTAGTTCTTACACTCCAAACAGTTTCTCTTCTGAGGAGCTTCAGGCTGAGCCATTGGACTTGTCTTTACCAAAACAAATGAAGGAACCCAAAAGTATTATAGCCACAAAGAACAAAACAAAATCTAATAGTGTAAAATTAGAACACAACAGTGTTTCTTCATCATCTGAAAACTCAGATGAGCCTCTGAACTTGACTTTTATCAAGAAGGAGTTTTCTAATTCAAATAATCTGGATAAAAGCACTAACCCAGTATTTGGTATGAACCCATTTAGTGCCAAACCTTTATACACAACACTTCCACCACAGAGCGCATTTCCCCCAGCCACTTTTATGCCACCAGTCCAGACCAGTATTCCTGGGCTGCGACCATACCCAGGACTAGATCAGATGAGCTTCCTACCACATATGGCCTATACCTACCCAACTGGAGCAGCTACTTTTGCCGATATGCAGCAAAGGAGAAAGTACCAGCGGAAACAAGGATTTCAGGTAAATGGTTTCAACTGTTTTCTCCTTTGAAAAGCTAGAATTCAGTATTTTGTGATATGCCTCTTAAAGAAGAAGAAACCTAAAGCGATAATCAACATTCCCAACAAAATTAGCAGAGTTTAAGTCTGAGCTTGAAAAGTCATGGTGGAGTAGGAAAATAAACTGCAGTTAATTAAAGAGTACCTCTACTTGGATTCAGAAGCAGTATCACTTACTTTGAACAGGCATAATGATTTTTGTTCTGTTGAGTTCAGACATTTCTCGTTAGATTTGTATAGTAGTATAATAATATTAATAATAATAATAATAATAATAATAATAATAATGTCCATAAAAAGTTGTATCCTAGAGAAAAAGAAAAGGAAACTTTGTAGGGAAATGTATCTTTTCAGGGCATAACTACATTTCACCAAAGAGAAAAGGAGCAATGGGAGACCCCTTTGGAGTTACCTGCATACTTGGACACAAAGTAGTTTCCCTCTAAGCGGAGGTCCACACAGCCTCATAGACACTGTAATCCACTGAAAGCCTTCAGAGCTCCCTTCTCCATATTTTTGGGGGATTGTTCACCCACCATTCATGGGAAAGTTGTCCTCTCTTCTCACTTATGTCGGGGGGATAAGAAACATTGGCCCATAGTCCCTTTCTTTGGGCTACCTACTGCTCTCTCCAGACTCTTAGTTCCTCTAATCCTGCCAGTCATCTGGAACAGCTTTGAAAAAACCCAAGAGATTAAATGAAATTATTTGGAGAGGTAGCAGCCAGGGCCCTTAATCGCAGACAAAGTCTTTCCCTGGACATGTAATCTGGGTCAGCACTTCTTTGTGCCCGTGTACAACCCGCAATTCTTCCCTCAGGTCATCCCAGAGTCAGTGCAGGTGTAGCAAAGGATTTTGTCTCTTGCACGCCTGAAGAGAAGGGCAGCTCCACAGAAGTCTTGTACTTTTATAGCCTTTTTCTGGGTGTATTCAGATGTAATGTACAGAGTTTAGTTAAATGAGATTAACTGATTATAGATTAATAATTTTTTCTTACATTTGCGCCTGTTCCCCCATGTCCTATTACCGTCTATTAGTAGTTTTACTGACTAGTAAATGTTTTATAGTTTCAAATGTGAAAATCAGGTACGGTTTTACATTACAGACTGTAATCCCTCTTTGCACAATAGGAGCATAAATAGCACTGCACCTCCATAACAGCTGTTCCACTATTCCAATTTACAGTACATCTGCCCTCTTTGTAAATGTATTTAAGCCTATTTAATCTTCTCTAATATTAATTAGTGCAAACCTAGTCTAAGAAAACTGAACTGTGTGATAGCAAATGGAAATGTATGTTATCATGCAAGTTTGCACTCTCTTTGGATCGAGACAAAATAAATATCAAGAAATTTAATAATTTACTGATCCACATTCATTATTGCTTAATGCTGAAGGCTGTTTTAACATAGATAGAACATTGATAAAAAGTGTTATTAATATTCCCTATTTCAAATTACAAAATTAAATATAAAAATATAGCTTGAGGCCTTTAGTCGGGAGACATACATTTAAATGGATTGCATAATAATAACATTTGTACCTAAATATAAAATTCAATTAAAACCTTTCTACAGATACAGAATACATCCAAGTTTTGGAATTTTGAAAGGAATGATCCCTTAGCTGTTGCTTACATTTACCTTTGTAAAATAATATAATACCTTTTGCTGGCCATGAAGAGCCTCCCCTTCACACTTTCTTGGAAGTATTTAGTGTTGATACAGTAAATACTGTTAGTTTGTGCAAACCACATTACTGCAGAGTGCTCAAAGACAGAAGGTTGGTTTGAGGCATAGGAGGCTCCCTGTTATTTCCATCCTTTCCATCATGTGTAGTTTCATTATCCATATTCCTAAGCTAAGAGGGACCACTGAGGCGTGATTTTACCTTCCCTGGGGTGGTTGGTGGGCAGGATTGGTGGTGGGAGCGGCTGTCGCTGACGAGTGGTTCCCTCACAGGGAGAATTGCTTGATGGAACCCCAGACTACATGTCCGGCCTCGACGACATGACGGACTCCGACTCCTGTCTGTCCCGAAAGAAGATCAAGAAGACAGAAAGTGGCATGTATGCATGTGACTTATGTGACAAGACATTCCAGAAGAGCAGTTCCCTGCTGCGACACAAATACGAGCACACAGGTAGGGCAGCTGCGAACGCTGAGGGCAGGATTGAGGGTCATGCTTCGTTCTTCACAGTCTTTCATGAGTACATTTGTGCAGTTGCTGAGGCACTCAAAAAGTTATTTTGCTCTGTTCTGACCTATTTTTTAAGTTTTTCTTGGTTATTCTTGGTGGTTATTGCTTGGTGAAGGACAGTTGGGTGTGATGGGGTGAATGTTGGTAGGTGCTATGGCAATCATCATCTCTCAGGCATTTCATCTCATTCCCTCTTGAAATGAGACAGGCCCTAGCACTCAGAAAGAACTGCAACTTGGTCAGCACAAAGTCTGGCATGGGAAGGAAGAGTGACAGTGTTCTTGTTTCTTAGACACTATCTGACCCAGCTCCATTTAATCCAATAGGAAAACTGCCACTGACGTTAGCAGCATGAGACCTGGCTCTGGCCAAGTTATCTGAAAGTCGACAGCTCAGGGGGTTTCCTCTTGCTGTGATTTTGCACACCAGCAGCACAAGCAGGTTGCAGTTCACTCTTTCACTTCCCAGTTAATGCCCAGGGAAGGTTCCCTTCTTTCCTGAGTAGGAAGTGATTTTTGTCCAGTTCAAGGAAGCTTGGCAAAGCTCACCATGCACTGTCAGCTTAAAAAATACTTTGGTTTGAAAAAGATCTTCCATCACACCTATGCTGGCCATGGTTCCCCTTACAGATAGTGCTCCCTTCCCCTCTGTCAGCCAGGATAGAGCTCTCTGAGGGCCACACATTGGCTCAGCATGTTTCAGTTAGGGGAAAATGGGACCGGAGCTTCCCAAATAATAGAGATATCAAATTATGTTGGACAAAGAGAAGGTGAATTATCATCTGAATTATTGCGCAGCAGGACATAAACCAAACTCCAACTTCCTAGAGTTAGAAAAAGTTTACTCAGGAGGAAACTTGCTTTAACTTTGAAAGCTGAGTCCCGCTTCAGGAAATGAAGCAAATCACATCATCCTTCAATCTCACCATGTGAGGGTAAAAACCTTACAGCTCTCTTTTAATACATCTTCCAGGCCCCACATAACCCTTTGGCTTTTCACAGATGAAAAATTTACAATTCAGAAGCGGACTGTGCCTTTAAAACAAAATCCTTTACTTTGTTATTTTTTCTTCTTATACTCTTCTTCCAAATTTTAAGCTAATCCCACATAGGAAAATACAAAAGGAAGTTAAAATACACGTGGGATTAGGAAAGAAAATTAAAAGCAACATTTTGGACTAGACCAGCCAGTTCACTGGCAGAATGTGCTTCCCACTACATTATTCAGATCAAATTGTTTATTCAGTAGAAGAAGCTTTGAAGGCTTTACGTCCCTGCACCTTTCCTCTCCTGAATGATTTTATTACGGCCATCTGCAAACATTATGGTTTACTACACTACTACTGTAAAGCTCTTATGTTAGAACTGGCCTTCATATATATCGGGATCTGGGCATATGGTTGAATCCCATAAAGTTGGTAGTCCATAAGGTCGACAGACATATGGTTGAAAGGCTGAAAATTTGACAAGCTGAAATGTGTGCAATCACCTTGATTTGCAAAATAAACTGCATTCGTAATAGCAAAAATATGTTATGGTCTTGAAGTAGCATGGGAACCTACTGCCTAGAAAAATGCCACACAGCTGCAAGGCAGGGACTCTTCTCCTGCTTCTTTCCTCTGTCCCTTTTGGCTTCTAAACTTCACGTCCATCAGTTTTATGGGACTCAGCCTTATGATCCAGAACATGTATGGGGTGTCAGATTTAATACGCTAGAACTACAGCACATCATCAGGCTGGAGCCTGGCATTTAGGGACAGGAAGGATGGTCTTGTGGCAGAGGCACAGGCAGTGAGAGCTCTGCACTCTCCCCTTCCTCACCACAGACTTCCTCTGTGAATTACAGAAAATTGCTTCATCTTTCTCTCACCTTCTCCCATCTTTGAAACACAGGGAAATGATACCAGCTCACCTCTCTGGGGTGTTATAAATATTAATTCATGATATTCTGCGATGGAGCTCACTGGATAAAGTGGGAAGTACTATTATCAGGGATGTGTTTGCTTTTATGGAGCCTCAGTGCATCATGCCAGTGCTTGAGTGGTTGGGAGCTCTGAAGGGCTTGGCTGGGCCAGCCCCAATACCTCATGCACAGCCTTCAGGAGGCACACTGCACTCACTGTCACTCTGGCTGATGGCTCAGGTGCATCTTAAGTGAATTTCAAATTAATTTGATAGTTTCAGGCAGAGCTTGTAATTGCATTAATAACATAAGTGTGAAACTGCAGTCCATGTTCAGTGGAAGGAACCAAATTGAAAGTAACACCCTCTCCTGCCTTTGGGGTGATTGTAAATGCAGGCCCAGGTTTTTCAAACAACTTTTTGAAACCTAAAAAAAGAGAAAAAACCCCTTTTTTCTCAGGGTGTTGCTGTTTTCTGAGCAGCAGATCATGACCTGTTGTAGTTTCATTTAATACATGTTTTAGGAGGAATTGGAATGCTTCCTTGTCTTTCCTGGAGAAGCACAAAATCATGGATGTTGTTTATAACAATCTCCTTTTTTCTGTGTAAAAAGAATATCAGTGTTTTATTAGAACTTTGGAACAATCAGATTTTTATTTGTCACCCTTTCTCAAGGTCCATGTACCTATTGCAGCCAGTGATAGAACAAGTGTTAAAAGAGTCAGGTAGAGGCCCCTAAAAATTTATCACAGAGAAATCATTTCAAGTAAAACATTGACAGGTAAAACTACATAAGCTGTCTGAATTATTGTTTATTGTTGATCAAGTGTTGTGAAGGAGAAAACAGGAATGTTTAGGTGTTGCAGTGGAGCTGAGTTTCCATGCCACGGCGAGAACAGGATTTGGCCAGTTCTTTTTGTCAACCCAAGAAGTTTTGGTAGGACCATGTGACCAGCCTCAGGACAAAGAACTCTGTGATTACCCCTGTACACCATGCCTGCCACAGCTGGAACGCAGTAGAAAAAGGGCCACAAATTTCACAATCCATAGTTTTTAATTTGTGCAGTATTGGTGGTATTCTGTAATAGCTTTCAGCTTCATGGGGAGAAGGAAAATTTATTGTGTTACTGCAATGAGTGAATTGCATTGGTTCTGGCTCATCTGAAATTTAGTGTAGAGGCCACTGGTTGTTGCAGAACCAAATTCTGACAATTTAATTTTGGGATGCTATTGAATTTTGAGAGGAGTTATGTGTCCCTCTTAGAGTTTGAGCTTCACAAGGTCCTATTTCCTTAAAGCCAGGGTATGCAGCACTGTAATTAGGGTGCAGAGCATGGCAGGTAGCACAGGCATTCAGTGCTCACATGATTTTCCTGTGGAGTCTTACAGACTCATCCTAATTTGGACAGGCTGAAATTAGTTGAGCCAATATGGGATGTGTCTAATCTCAGATTTTTCCAAGCTGCTTAGCACAAGGTTCAAGGCACTTTCCTTACGAAAGGTGAAGAAGGTGGTTGCCTTCATGGCAAAGCATTGGTGCTTCAGTGAGCAATAAATTCTTTGTGCTGCTGATAAGGAGGGAGCCAGGAGTGGGTGAGTGAGCAGGAGAGCAAACAGAATGGAGCATCAAGAAATACAGAAGTATCCTGGAACTTGGTCCAGAGATGGAGGAGTAAGGTGAAGGTTAATGTTTGTTCTGCCCTCGTCAACGCCCGTGTCTGCCACACACCGGCTTTGTTGTAGCTTCACAGGGGAACTCTCAGCACGCCTGCTCTGCAACAAAAGCTGGAAACAGTTTTTCAGAATCCTACCTAGAAATTTAAAATCCTTTCATTGTTGTTCTATATTACATCATATTCTATTTTATTACTTGTGCGGGCTGTCGAGGGCCTCATAGCTGTGCTAGGGCTTTCATCCTTTCCTTTTCCACTGTATATTTTATTAAGACCTCTTTTTTATTTTTGTAGCTTTCATGCTGATGCAAGCACTAGTTTTATTTCCAGATTGATTCTGTAAACTAAATATTGTTCTTGAGCCTGGTAGCAAATCAGCTCTCTCTGGCTAGTATTTTGAATTCCCAGCTTGGGAGTTTTCTTTATTTAGAGCTTGATTCATAAAAAATTTACATGCTATTTAAAGGTTATTTTTTCTTGCTTTACTCTGATACAAGTTTAGAATTCCCCATTTTACACTCAAATAAAGAAAAAAAAAAGGATATATTCTATGTTTGTGTCTGCAGACAAGGTCTCCTATTGAAAATGGAACAGGTGCAGCTTGGGCAATTATATATAAATTGCATTTATCTTGCACCTTTGACCGCTTTGCTATGCTCTGGCCACTAATCCATCTCCATTGGGACTACATCTAACATCCAAACCCCCGAGCAGCTTCAAAAGAACTGCCTTAAAAAAAAAAATAAAAACAAACTGTCACAAAAATATTTCCTTCTCTCCTCCGAAGAGTGGGATTTCTGTTTGTCCCCCTCCCATGGAAAAAAGACCCACTTGCCTTAGGCAAAGAATGGGTGATATTTAGTCTGGGACCAGTGACAGCTTGTGATCTGATGTCTTATGACTTTTATACCACTGCAAATGGGAAATGCACAGCTTTTCAGTCAAAGACCTTTAGCCCAGGAAGATCGAGAGATGCTTACTATCTGATATGTTTTTGTTGTCTTGTTTTAACAGAAATGCAATTTTAGAGACTTTGCAAACAGATTAGTTATAATTTCTCCTCTGTAGATTGAGTGTGGGCCCCCATGGGAACCTGTGTTTTGCAATGAAGGGAAAAAAAAAAGCCCAAACATTTCCTCTAGATATTTGAGAGAGATTTATCATCTAATTCCATTGCAAAACGTAACATCTACATCACTCACCCATCTGACAGAACACAAGTGTTTGGTGAGCCCTTCCGTGAGCTTCCTTGGGTCCATCTCTCCTAGCTCCAGCCCCCATGGATGACACGGGGGATCTCATGGATTGGATACAACCTGTGGGGTGGGATGTCAAATCTGCTTCCTTTTGACTTATCTCTATGGCAGTGATGTTATGAATGTTGTGACACTGCATGACAGTGCTCTAGGACAAGATGATGACTTCAGAATGAACAAGAGTGGGTTAAGGTATTAGGATTGTAGACATTAGGGAGGTATTATTAGATATTGAGAAGAAAGTCTTCACTGTGAGGGTGGTGAGGCTCTGGCCAGGTTGGACAGGGCTTGGAGCAACCTGGTCTAGTGCCCATGGCAGGGGGTGAACTGAGATGAGCTTTAAGGTCCCTGCCAACCCAAACCAGCTGGGGATCCTATGGTTTCCTAAAGTTGTAGGTCCTCCTTATCCACCTACAATTGCAGACTTATCCCCATCCCCAGTATAAAATACCTTAGTCCAGCTTTATTTTATGACCTACTAACACATTGTAGGGATTAAAGACTCATTTTAAATGGCTGAAATGCTGGGTTTTGCACATGAGGGGAAGAAAATAATTCTTCAAATATTCAGAAACCTGATACATTTAAAAACATATTTCAATTAGTGTTGTAACAGCTGCACACTGAGCACTGCTAAGGTATGTTGTGTGGTGTCTGAACAAAGAACTTTGCCCAAGCTGTCACGTTCCCTCAGATCAAAACTGAGGTCTTGATATGGATGTGGTAGACTAAATAGCTCTAGCATTGCCTTTTTAGTGCTAACATAAATTAATATGAAAATATGAAGTATTTTAATCTATTAATTTCTAAATTAATTTATAAAATATGGATGATTCCCTGCAAGGCTGCATCTGTGTGGCAAAGCAGGCAAAGACTGAGGGACGAGCACATCCCCTAGCCTTTGGAAGGGTGGGTGGAGGCAAGTCTGGATGAGAGCAGTGGAGGTGGTTGACTTCTGTTTGAGGAAAAAAAGATGCTGGGAGCTGGATGGAGCACAACTGTGGGGCGAGAATCATAGATGGAATGGTTTGGGTTTTGGAAGGGATCATTGAAAGTCATCTAGTCCCTGAAATGACCATGGAAACCTTCAACTAGACCAGGTTGCTCAGGGTTCCATCCAATCTGACCTCAAATGTTTCCCAGGATGGGACAGAGAAGGGTGTAGTGGGCATCAGATGTAGTGTGCCTTAAAAAAAATCAGGGAATTCGGAGTAATGGAGAAGTGATGGTGAAGTGGAACAAGACAAGGGTTAGGCTTGTCAATGTTAGAAAAAAGTAAATCAGAAGGAGGGACTGAGATAACGTGGGCAGTTCAGTGAGGAAGACACTAAAAAGGTGCTGAGGAAAAGCAGAAAGTCTGCAAGGAGCAAAAAAGAAACAAAATTAGCAATTATTGAGGTACTAGCGAGGGGACATCAATGTGTAGCTCTGAGGGTAATCAGCAGGACAACTGGGTCAGGACAGAGGTTCATCCCATTGGGTGCTGGTAGCACTGGGAAAGCTCCCACCTCACTCGTGAGGGTTTTCCACTGGCAGTGCCGGGGTTTGAGAGCGCTTAGGCTGAGAGTGCTTTGGGATTTTAAGCTAATTTGAGTGAGTGACTTGATCGTGCTTAAATCTCCTGAGCTAAGACTCTGGGATTTCCCCTTCGTGGCTAAACTTGTGCCCTGAATCGCAGGTAGCTGACTCCAGCTCTGGATTTGGTGCACCCCTAGGTCAAGGCTGGATGTTGAAAGCCAAAATACATTTATAGCTCAAAGCCCAGGGTTTTCTTTGAGTTTGACTTTTAACCAACAGGTTAAATTGGCAGAAATGCAGATTTAGGAAACGGTTCGTCCAAGTAATGCTGCTATATTTCAATAGATCAAGTTTGAATTTTCAATTTTACTA